GATATTTTTCTGTTTGTGCAGAATGCTGTTTTGATGTTGTGTTTATGAAGGATCTTACTGATTCTGTCTGTGGTGCCTTTTATGTATGGGAGGAGGGCTTTGCCGTTTTCTTGTTCTTGGTCTTGGATTTTAGTGGGGGTTTCTTTTTGGATTAGGTTTGTAATCTTATTTCTATGGAATCCATTGGATGTTAGTACATTGGTGAGAGTGTGTAGTTCGTTTTTTAGGTGTTGTTCGTCAGCTAAGCGTTTTGTTCTGTAGATGAGTGTCTTGGCTACAGAGTTGATCTGTGCTGGGTGGTGGTGTGAGAGAGCGTGCAGATAGTGGTTTGTGTGTGTTTTCTTCTGGTAGATGGTGTGTCCTAGGGAGCCATTGGATTTATTGTAGACTAAGACATCCAGGAAGGGAAGTTGGTTGTTAGCTTCTGTTTCCATGGTGAACTGTATTTTGGGGTGTAGGCTGTTGAGGTGTGTGAGGAAGTTGTCCAGTTTTTCTTTCCCATGTGGCCAGATTATGAAGGTGTCGTCTACGTATCTGAGCCAGAGTTTGGGTTTGTGATCAGATTTTTCTAGAGCTTGGGTTTCAAAGTGTTCCATGTAGAGGTTGGCAATGACAGGTGAGAGGGGTGATCCCATGGGTGCTCCTTCTGTTTGTTTGTATTTTTGTCCATTATAGATGAAGTATGTGTTGGATAGGCAGTGGTTGGTCAGATCTAAGATGTGTTTGGGGGGGTTATATTTGTTTTGGATAGCTGTCAAGGCTTCTTTGATAGGCACTTGTGTGAAGAGGGATATGACATCGAAGCTCACTAGTAGGTCGCTGGGCTGTAAGTTTTGTTTCTTTATGATCTCTATAAACTGGAATGAGTTTTTTACGTGTGAGGTAATGGATTCTGCATAGGGCTGTAGGTTGTTTGGCGAGAAATTTGGCTAGGTTTTGTAGAGGTGAGCCTATGGAGCTGACTATAGGTCTGAGTGGGGTTCCTTCCTTGTGTATCTTGGGGAGACCATAGAGTTTGGGGCATCTGGATGATTTCTCTCTGGGAATGATTCTTTGCTGGATCTCTTTGCTAATGGGGGAGGCTTTTATTTTGGATCTGGTGGTTTTTTCCAGGTAGGTGGTGGGATCTGTATTTAGGGGTTTGTATGTGGAGTCTTGGAGTAGGTTGGTTAATTTGGTTTGGTAGTCAGATGTGTTCATAACCACCGTGGCGTTGCCCTTGTCTGCTGGTAGGATTATTATGCTGGTGTCTTCTTTAAGGTTACGTAGTGCTGTCTGTTCCTCTTTGGGTAAGTTGCTTTTGGGTGGCTTGCTGGTGCAGAGGATGTTGGTGATTTCGAGTCTGATTTGTTGGCGTCGTCGGGGTTGATTTTAGTCAGGCTGGTTTCAACTCACATATAATGGTTTCAGTGGGGATGTGTTTGGGAGCGACTGAAAAGTTGAATCCTTTGGAAAGGACATTGGTTTCGGCTTTGGTGAGGATCCTATCTGAGATGTTATGCACTGTTTGTTTCATGTGTGGCTGTGAGGGAGGAGGGGTTTGTTTCTGGCGTTCTTGTAGTCTTCGGAGTTTGTTGGTGTGTGTATCTGTCTTGAGGGTGGTCTGTGTTTCGGCTCTCCAGACGGCAAGTTGTTTGGATTTGTCCCAAAGTGCGGGGTGGATCTTGTTGCTGAGTTTGAGGTGGAGTGTGAGGAGATCTTTGTTAATTCGGTCTAGGAGGAATCTTTTTGTGTGAAGTTCATTTCTGATTAGGGCCAATTCTGTTCTTTTCAGGATCCGTTTGGTGGCTGCAGAGTTGGAGTGGAATTTCAGTTGGAAACATGTGGGGATTAGATTTTGATCTCGCAGTTGCGTAGGAATGCGAGGTCGCATAAAATGGAAGCTCTTTGGACTTCAAGTTTTTCATAGGTCCTGGTCAGATGGTGGATTTCCTCCCCATAGAGGTTCAATATTTGTTTTCTGAGGTTTTCGCGGGTATTTGTATGTAGGTCTTTGGTTGTTCGGGTTTTCTCCCACGTAAAGTTGGAAGAAAACACACACAAACCGCTATCTGCACGCTCTCTCACACCACCACCCAGCACAGATCAACTCTGTAGCCAAGACACTCATCTCCAGAACAAAACGCTTAGCTGACGAACAACACCTAAAACCCGAACTACACACTCTCACCAATGTACTAACATCCAATGGATTCCATAGAAATAAGATTACAAACCTAATCCAAAAAGAAACCCCCACTAAAATCCAAGACAAAGAACAAGAAAACGGCAAAGCCATCCTCCCATACATAAAAGGCATCACAGACAGAATCAGTAAGATCCTCCATAAACACAACATCAAAACAGCATTCTGCACAAACAGAAAAATATCCACCATCCTTAGAAACCCCAAAGATAAAATTGAATTAGAAAATCAAGGAGTATACGAAATCCCATGCACCACTTGTCCCACCACATACATCGGACAAACCAACAGAAGAATAAGTGCACGCATTGAAGAACATAAGAACTCAATCAAAAAAGAGGAACCAACATCTTCCCTGGTCAAACACCTTAAAGCTACAGGACATGAAATTGACTTTAAAAATACCAGAACCATTGCCAAAAGTGAACATTTTAATAACAGAATAATCAGAGAAGCCATCGAGATAGAAAAACGCCCACACAGCATGAACAAGCGAGATGATACCTCCCGCCTACCAGCCATTTGGAAAACCGCCCTCATTGACAAACGACTCCCTAACACAAAAAATGATACCAGACCCACACTCACAAAAACCACACAGGAGGTCACCACCAAACATCCACGCAAAAAACAAACCCAAAGCCACACTGACTATGAGGCACGACCACAAACCAGAAGCCAGACCACAGCTGCATCATTAGCCACTTTAAACCCCCCCAATCCATACATGAAGCAAACTGACACCCTCCATGAAGAAGAAGCACGACCACGAACGCGAAGCCAAGGAATGGCAGGGCAGCCCAAAATCTTGAATCCCTCTGCAACTCAGACTAACCTGAGCACAACCAAACAGAACACTCCCCCAGCCAATCAGAGCACAGCCAACCCCCCAGCCAATCAGAGCACAGCCAACCCCCCAGCCAATCAGAGCACAGCCAAGCCCCTAACCAATCAGAACACACCTCCACCCAATCAGAACACAGCCAAGCTCCCACCCAATCAGTTCATACCCCCACTGGCAGTTAAAAGGAAGAAACAGCTAAGACCACACATTGCTGCTCGAAGCACGAAGCTGAAAACACCAGCCTGAAGATGACGAATGGGACTTCGTCGAAACGTCGCCAAGACACTTCCAACTTTACGTGGGAGAAAACCCGAACAACCAAAGACCTACATACAAATACCCGCGAAAACCTCAGAAAACATATATATATATATATATATATATATTTGATTGATGGGTTAATTAGCCCTTGGGCCATATCCAAGTGCAAAGTTCCAGAAACAAATTATGACTAACATTCGACAAAAGCTATGTAAAATGGAATAGGATAAAATACAATTTAAAATGGAATTGGAATAAAATAAAATGAAATTTTATTGTACATGTATATTTACATGTATGTCCTTAATGGTTATAAAAATACGGTATGTATATATATATACATACCTCGAAGCACAAAGCTGAAAACACCAGCCTGAAGATGACGAATGGGACTTCGTCGAAACGTCGCCAAGACACTTCCAATTTTACGCGGGAGAAAACCCGAATAACTAAAGACCTACATATATATATAGTCAAGTATAATCAAGGCCATGGTTTTCCCAGTTGCAGTATAATCAAGGCCATGATTTTCCCAGTTGCAATTATGGCTGTGAAAGTTGAACCATAAGAAAGGCTGAGGGCCAAAGAATTGAGGCCTTTGAACTATGGTGCTGGAGAAGACTCCTACGAGTCCCCTGGACTGCAAGGCGATCAAACCGGTCAGTCCTAGAGGAGATCAACCCCGACTGCTCTTTAGAAACCCAGATCCTGAAGTTGAAACTCAAATACTTTGGCCACCTAATGAGAAGGAAGGACTCACTGGAGAAGGGCCTAATGCTGGGAAAGATTGAGGGCAATAGAAAGAAGGGGACAACGGAGAATGAGGTGGCTGGATGGAGTCACTGAAGCCATAGGCGTGAGCTTAAATGGACTCCAGAAGATGGTAGAGGACAGGAAGGCCTGGAGGAACATTGTCCATGGGGTCGCGATGGGTCGGACATGACTTCGCAACTAACAACAACAAAAATTAAATTGGTATAAAACGCAGTCTAAAATGAAATGGGAATAGAATATAATAATTTAAGATATAGATAAAATACGATAAAATTATATTTCGGTGTCACTCCTGCAATCTACCCCAATCTGTCCCACATATGCAGATCCCAACTGAACCATTTTGCTTAAGTACCGCACAGTGTTAAATGTTATTTTCAGATTGGGGCTGCACGTAAGGTAAGTTGTTTTGGTATGGGGATCCCAATGGGTCATTCGTTTGGTATGTAGACCGAGATAACTGTCTCTCATCATACAGGCAATAATCAAATAGGACGTGAACCAGGTCTTCTACCTCTGCCAGTCTGGAAATGCAGAGACTTTTATTGTAGGGTATAGAGATACAAAAAAAAATAAAATAAAATCACACGATTGCCTCGCTTAACGACACTAAATCCAGCGATTTTGGTTATCTTTATTAAGCAAATCCTGGGTGGTTGTTAAGCAAGAATGTCAGTCTTTCAGAGTTATATGTGAGAAATTGTTTTCCTATCTCTTTACTTGAGGACTATTGGTCACTATATGAGATGTTGAAATACCTTGGACTATAAAATTGACAAACAACTTTTTACTAGAAAGACTATTTATAAACACGTGAAAGAGATGGATGAAGACCAGGAACAGATTCTTTCCATGTTGAAAGCAATACACGAAACCATTCTTTCAAATTGTGATAAAATAAGACCTAACATAAAAGATCAAGATGCCAGTTTAGGTGCCCAAATCCAAACTTTGACTACAACCAAAGAACCAATAATGCAGAAGATAAGCAAGAATGTCAGGGACTAAATTAGCCACCCTACTTCCTGAAGGGAATTGGTGCCTTCTCTCAGGTGTGAAGAATCAGGACCATGCTTTGCTCTAGTCAAGCTGATTTATTGCTCAAACATATACCCAACAATATAGTCATCTAATGATCAGCATTAAATTGGTGCTAAATAAGAATTAACAGAATTCAAGAGGGTCTGGACTTGGATCATTTGTGGGAACTTAAGGATTCTAGGCTGATTACTCTCTTAAATCCACCCACCAGGCTCTGCTTGTCCTTCTCCTACACCTTCTTTCCAAAGCTGTGCCGAGCTCATGGCGAGTCCCGGTGGGCCTGCGGAAGGCAGGCTGCATTGTGGAAGGAAGAGCAAACCAGGATGGGGTGGGACAGGTGCATTTTGGGCTTGTGTCCCACTCTTGTGCTGGACTGGCCATGGCTGTGCCACTTCCTGTTTGTGTTGGAATCTGGAATTGAGGGGAAGGGTGAAAAGATTGGCTAGCCTTGAATCACTGATGTGGAAGGAGTAACTGAAAGGACATCCCCTCCCCACTAAATCTTGGCAGTATTTTTCTAGTTCTTCTACGGTGAGTGCATTACTCTGACGAGCTCCTGCCGGCCTAGCAGTTTGAAAGCATGCAAATGCAAGTAGGTAAATAGCTATCACTTTGGTGGGAAGGTAATAGCGCTCCGTGAGGTCATGTTGGCCCCATGGCCGCAGAAAGGTCTTTGGACAGCGCTGACTCAGCGGCCCTTGAAATGGAGAGGAGCACCACCCCAGCAATGATTAGCGGAGTAAGCTCTGCATGCTTTAACTTTACATTCTGTGTTGCCAGGCCTTGGCAAGCCGATCTGTAAAGGGAAGGGGCTTGCTTTTCAGCTGAAAAATGAAGGGCAGTTTAGAATTACGGTACAGACAAACTAAAAACCTCCCGCCTGTCTGTCCTTTTCCAGCTCATGTTTCAGCCCTGCGGCTCTTTGATATCAGTGAGTTGGATATCCTGGAAGATTACACGGTGGATTTACACCAGTTCATGCCAGTGGGAGGCGTCTATCACTGTGATTTGCTGAAGCTCCCGCCTCAAGCCAAACAGGTCAAAGGATGGACCATCGTGGAAGTAATGGTCTTTTTCTTTCTTTCTTTCTTTCTTTCTTTCTTTCTTTCTTTCTTTCTTTCTTTCTTTCTTTCTTTCTTTCTTCCTTCCTTCCTTCCTTCCTTCCTTCCTTCCTCTTTCTTTTTCTTTCTTTTTTCTTTCTTTCTCTTTCTCTCTTTTTCTTTTTCTTTCCCTTCCTTCCTTCCTCTCTCTCTCTCTCACTCACTCACTCTTTCTTTCTTTCTTTCTTTCTTTCCTTCCTTCTTTCCTTCCTTTCTTCCTCCCTCCCTTCCCTCCTTTCTTCCTTCCCTCCTTTCTTTCTTTCATTCTTTCTTTCTCCCTCCTTCCTCCCTCCCACCTTCCTTCCTTCCTTCCTTCCTTCCTTCCTCCTCCCTTTCTCCTTCCTTCCTTCCTTCCTTCCTCCCTCCCTCCCTCCCTCCCTCCCTCCCTCCCTTCTTTCCTGTATTCCTGTGGTGTATTCTTTAGCAAGCAATGAAATTTCTAATTCATTAAACCTTATGGAACATGCAAGCTCTCTCATACTGGGATCCTTAAGGGTGTGCTGGAAGGAGACCAGTGTGTCTGTGGAATCAGATTCCCTGGTCTCTCTACTCTAGCTGTAGAGTGTCTGCAGAGGCAGGTCAAAAAAGTAAGAAAGGTCCACCACAGAGCAATCAAAGCCCCACCTCATTTTTACTTGTGTTTTCCATGAAAAGAGGATGGAGCTTCAATCCCCAGAGTTGCCAGCACCCTCTTGACTTTTTTTGACCACTTTGCATCAGCTTTCTTGGAAAACAAGTGTTGCAAGCAACTGCAATCCAGTCCTTTCTTTCGAGGCATGCCCACTTTTCTAACTATAAAGATAAAAGAAACAAGTAGGAGGCATTATCTATAAAATTTAGGAATAGATACGCATTTGGATATGCATTTGCAAAAATAAATGCATGGTGCATGGTGGGTTTTTCCCCATTTTTTTTTTTAACATAGCTTTGATTGGCAGCAATTTAAAAACTGTAGGAATGATTCAACTAGCAGGCAAGTAAAGTGGCAGGTGAGCATATAGAAGGCAGTCAGATAGATAAAAAATGTCTTCCGCTAACTAGGATTCAATTCTTTAAAGAAGAACATTTGCAATAGTGAATGTTAACAATGGTTAGAAGCATGTTAGAAACAATGGTCGTGCACTGTTGGAATAATCTTTTCACTGTTGGTAAAAGAAAATTCAGGAACATTATTACTTAATGCGTAACTGAGCTGGGCAGAGATCTACCTTGGAACATAGAATAATAAAGTTGGAAGGGGCTGTGGAGATCTTCTCGTCCAACGCCCTGCTCATGGTAGGGAACCCTATACCAGAGGTCCCCAACCTTTTGGGCACCAGGACTGGTTCCGTGGAGAAAGGTTTTTCCACAGACAGGAGAGTGGGTGGTTTTGTGTGCTGACTGCATCCCACGGATGGGGCTTTGCTTGTTTATACGGAGCGGTTGTTGGCATGCTGTGCCCCTGGTCCACGGATCAGGGGTTGGGGACCCCTGCCCTATACCATTCCGGACAGATGGCCATCCAGCCTTTTCTCAAAAATATCCAGTGATGGAGCACCCACAACTACTGGAGATAAGCCGTTCCACTAATTGTTCACATTGTCAAAAAAAATTCTCCTTAGTTCTAGGTTAGATCTCTCTTGAGTGATCCATGCTGCCCTTGGGTGCTTTGGAGAACAATAGGTGGTCTCCCTCTTCTTCGTGACAGCTCCTCAAATATTGGAAGACTGCTATCACATCCTCCCTAGTTCTTCTCTTCGTTAGACTAGACCGGGGGTAGGCAACCTTGGCTCTTTTATGACTCGTGGACTTCAACTCCCAGAATTCCTGAGCCAGCCATGCTGAGGGGAAAGGGAGAGGTTTCCAAGCTGAGCCATGCTGGCTCAGGAATTCTGGGAGTTGGAGTCTACGAGTCATAAAAGAGCCCAGGTTGCCTACCCCTGGCCTAGTCTATTAAGCCTGACAGGAGTAGATTATCAGAAACTGGTAGTCCTAGTCCACGGGTAGGCAGCCTTGGCTCTTTTATGACTTGTGGACTTCAACTCCCAGAATTCCTGAGCCAGCCATGCTGAGGGGAAAGGGAGAGGTTTCCAAGCTGAGCCATGCTGACTCAGGAATTCTGGGAGTTGAAGTCCACGAGTCATAAAAGAACCAAGGTTGCCTACCCCTGGAATAGACATACCTACTTCCCTCAATCGTTCATCATATGATTTCAACTCAGGGAGAGAGGTGAGTTGGGTTATTTCTATAAAACAGCTAAATTTTCTTCATTCCTTGCTTGAAGATCTTGGATACAGGATTAGAGACTTACCCCTACACTGCGACATGTGAGGAATCTGAAGACAACTCAGCCGTGACGGTGGGGATCACGATCCATCTGACTGATTCCGTGATTTATTTTGAAGAGCCACTGATAGCGAGGTGGGATAATCAAGGTATAATACGCTTCTAACAACTACTGCAAGAATGAGCTAGATTTGAATGTCCACTTTCCTGTGCTAGTGATGGATATCTGGAGAAGAAAACTGGTAGAAATATTTTACAGGCAGTCCTTGACGGATAGCAGTCCATTTAGTGCAGTGGTTCTCAACCTGTGGGTCGGGACCCCATTTGGGGTCGAACGACCATTTCACGGGGGTCGCCAAACAAGGCTGTCCGCCATTTCCCCCCCCCCTTTTCTTTGGCCACGCCCCTGGCACCCAGTGATGTATAAGTGGTTGGGGGTCACCACAACATGGGGAACTGTATTATGGGGTCGCGGCATCAGAAAGGTTGAGAACCACTGATTTAGTGGCTGTTCAAAGTTACAGTGGCACTGAAAAAGTGACTTATTTATTTATTTAATTTTATTTATATGACTTATGACCGTTTTTCACACTTACGACCGTTGCAGCGTCCCCAGGGTCACGTGATCAAAATTCAGATGCTTGGGAACTGACTCACATTTGTGACGGTTGTAGTGTCTTGGTGTCACGTGATCCTCTTTTGCAATCTTCCGACGAGCAAAGTTTATGAGGAAGCCAGATTCACTTAACAATTGTGTTACTGACTTAACAACTCCAGCGATTCACTTAACAACTGTGGCAAGAAAGGCCGTAAAATGCAGCAAAACCCACTTAGCAAAAGAACGAATTCTGAGCTACCAAAACTCTACTCTTCTCACTTTACATTTGTTCGTTGTTGTACTTTTTTAACATTTTGTCCCGAGACATGAATTCATTTCATCCTCCATTCATCTCCAGAATGTTACTCTCCACCTTTAAAAAAAAAAAATCCTCTTCTGTTCTTTTTTTAAGCATTCTTTTTATGGGGATTATTTAATAGCTCTATTTTGGGACCCTTGTCCAGCCCTTTCTGTGAGGTCAAGAGCCGAGGTGGCGCAGCAGTTAGAGTGCAGTACTGCAGGCCACTTTAGCTGACTGTGTTCAGCAGGTCAGTGGTTCAAATCTCACCGGCTCAAGGTTGACTCAGCCTTCCATCCTTCCGGGGTAGGTAAAATGAGGACCCAGATTGTTGGGGGGCAATGTAAATATATATATATATACATTGCTTACTGGTGTACACCGCTTAGAGAGTGCTTGCACTTAAAGCGGTATATAAATCTCATAAATAAATAAATAAAAATAAATAAACCCGCAGTGTTTGCGTGTCGTAAAAATTGTTTTTACAAATTGACGGTGTTATGATTTAAGTATGAAGTCCATTGGAACAGGGCAGCTATAACCAATTTAAAGAGCTGTGTGGAACGAATGCAGTCTTTCTTCCTTTTCTTCCCTGTACAAGATAAATACTGGAGGACTGATGACATTGGGGAGGTGGTCTACAGCATGAAGGAGAAGGAGGTCTCCTTTAGGATGAATGGCTTCTTCACTGTCACGTTGCTTCAGGATGCTCACCTCAATATGCCGTATCAAGCCTGGGAGCTCCAGCCTGTAGGCCCCGACCGAGCTATTTTTACCATCCTCACCACCTTTGCTGAGGTCCAGATCCACATCAAGGTAGGTGGGAAAACAACCGGCAGATCTGCGGTGTGGATGCAGGTAGTCCTCAACTTGCAACTGTTCATTTAGTGACCGTTCAAAGTTACAACAGCACTGGAAAAAAGTGACTGATGACTGTTTTCCACACTTACGACCCTTGCTGCATCCCCATCACAATCCAGACGCTTGGCCACTGATTCATATTTACGACAAGTCACAGTGTCCCGGGATCATGTGATCTCCTTTTGCGGTTTTCTGACAAGCAAAGTCAATGGGGAGGCCAGATTCACTTAACCACCGTGTTGCTAACTTAAGAACTGCAGTGATTCACTTAACAACTGTGGCAAGACAGGTCATAAAATGGAGCAAAATTCACTTAATGCAGGGGTAGGCAACCTTGGCCCTTTTATGACTCGTGGACTTCAACTCCCAGAATTCCTGAGCCAGCCATGCTGAGGGGAAAGGGAGAGGTTTCCAAGCTGAGCCATGATGGCTCAGGAATTCTGGGAGTTGAAGTCCACAAGTCATAAAGAAGCCTAGGCCTAGGCCAGAGATAGGTAACCTTGGCTCTTTTATGACTGGTGGACTTCAACTCCCAGAATTCCTGAGCCAGCCATGCTGAGGGGAAAGGGAGAGGTTTCCAAACTGAGCCATGCTGGCTCAGGAATTCTGGGAGTCGAAGTCCACGAGTCATAAAAGAGCCAAGGTTGCCTACCCTGACTTAACGTCTCATTTTTGGGCTCAATTGTGGTCGTAAGTCGAGGACTATTTACTCACTGCTTAGGAAAGAATGAAACAACTGTTTAGCGGCTCTTCTGTTTTTCTGAGGCAGGAAAGTCAATGTATGATCTATTCTGTGGCTACAGTCGAAGATTCTGACCTGCTTATGGGGCTGAGAGAAAAATGGATGACGCCCATGGCCCTCTTGATGCTCCTGAAGAGAGCCGGCATGAACATCTTCCCCGCTGAATACTCCTCAAAGTATGTCAGCGTGAACAAAAAAGTAAGCAGCCGGGAAATGGATTTCTGTCATTTCCTCATTTCATGTGTTCTGTTTGGGTAAGAATGTGTGAATGCAGTCATTCGGGGTTGTCTACCCTGGTTTAGTGCAGGAGCATGTAAGCTTGGCAATTTAAGACTTGTGGACTTCAACTCCCAGAATTCCTCAGCCAACATGGAAGTCTCTAGCGTGGAAGTGTCTTAAGTCCACAAGTCTTAAAAGTCCTTCACCTATACCAGGAGTGTCCAACCTTGGCAAATTTAAGACTTGTGGACTCTGCACAATATATAGAGAGGATAATTAGAATATTTTCAGTTCTATCTGTCCGTCTGTCTGCCTGTCTGTTTATCATCTATCTCCTTCTAATCTATCGCTACCATCATCTAGCTATCAGATGATTGTTAGATGATAGATACATCATCTTCAAATCTATCCATCTATCCATCCATCCATCCGATAGATAGATCAGATGACATAGACCAGGAGTGTCAAACTGCCGGCCCTCAAGCCTGATGCATCATAGCAAAACCGTGCCGACTCCAGTGCCGGCAATAGCAAAAAAGTCACAATATGTCGTGACACATCACGTGACATTGTCAGCTTGACACCCCTGATATAGACAAATTATATAGGATGATAATAGATAGATAGATAGATAGATAGATAGATAGATAGATAGATAGATAGATAGACAGACAGACAGACAGACAGACAGACAGACAGACAGAGACAAACAGACAGACGATATGGATAATAGATGATTAACATGATGATAGAGAGGATAGATAGAGGGAGATAGATGGATGATGGATGATATAGACAAATGATATAGATGATATAGATAGATAGATAGATAGATAGATAGATAGATAGATAGATAGATAGATACACACACAGATATGGATGATAGATGATCGACAGATATGATAGAGAGGATAGACAGAGGAAGATGATAGGTAGGTAGGTAGGTAGGTAGATAGGTAGATAGATAGATAGATAGATAGATAGATAGATAGATAGATAGATAGATAGATAGATAGATAGATAGATCAGCATCAAGAGAGAGAAATCAGGGCCTTGGGCCTTGTTCCTGTGCCAAGTTTCCTTCGCAATTGACTTTGGATATTTTCATCTACTTTTTTACAGACGCTGTTGGCAGAAATCATGGTTTATCAGCAAATGTCTCTTGTTGCCACCTCTTTTGCCTTTGGCTGGAGCAAATGGAATCTGAAGAGTGGAGAGAATAATCTGGTTTTTAAGGTGGGTGTAAGTGGCGATACCACAAACCCTGCCTAGTCTCCCCGTTAGGTATAAGCAGAGCCGGCTCCAAGGCCCCACTCTGTCCCTGCAGTCTCCCTGGCATTGCTCCATGGTATCTTCTACACCAGTGTTTCTCAACCTTGACAATTTGAAGGCTTGTGGACTTCAACTCCCAGAATTCCACAGCCAGCATTGATGTTTGACTGTCCACCTCCTAGAGGTGACTTTGGGTGGCATACAGAAGGTCAAAACCAATCAAAATATCCCCAATCATTCACATCGCTAAAGTCCCCCACAAAAACCAGCGATAAAGCCAGTCAAGCAACCAGGGATTTCTGCAAAGCCTGGTTTAGATGATACAGAGAGTCCTTGGATCCTAAGTGCTCAAGTCCAAGAGGACCTGCTGGTGGCTATGACAACACAACTGAAGCTCTGCCTGTTTGCGTGTGTGTTGCGTGTCAATTTTGCCAGGAAACATTCAGCTTTGCCCATTATACTCTTTCATTTTGAAAACAGTTGAAGAAGCCCAACAGTTCCTTCAGACGCGACTAAAGGATAATATTTGTAGCTCAGGGTTGAAGTGAGGGATCCTTGGTGCGCTCTGAGCGTGGCTGTTTTCTTGCAGACGTTTCATGACCCATCTAGGCAACGTCATGAGCGTTAGAAGCAATAGCAATAGCACTTAGGACTTATAAAGGCTAGAGAGAAGTTCCCTGAAGATGGGCTTCAACACGGGTCCGAAAGCTTAGAAGACAAAAAAACTCTGCTCCTGGTGACCGATCCAGATTGGATCCTGCAACTTAAGACTTCTGTACCACTTCATAGTGCCTTTACAGTCCTCTCTGAGCGGTTTACGGTGTCAGCCTATTGCCCCCAACAATCTGGGTCCCCATTTTACTTCCTTTTCCTTCCTCCCTCCCTCCCTCATTTTTTAACTCCCTCCTTCTTCCTTCCCCCCCTTTTAATCTTCTTCCCTCCCCCCTCTTCCATCCTTTTTTATTTCCTTCCTCTCTCTCCCTTTTATCTCCTTCCTTCCTCCCTCATTTTTTAACTCCCTCCTTCCTCCATCCCTTTTTTAATCTCCTTCCCCCTCCCTCTTCTATCCTCCCTCCCTCCCTCATTTTTTATTTCCTTCCTCCCTCTCCTTCCCTTATCTTCCTCCCTCTTTTATCTCCTTCCTTCCTCTCCCTCCTTTTATCTCCTTCCTTCCTCCCTCCCTCCTTTTTATCTCCCTCCCTCCCTCCCTATCTCCTTCCTTCCTCCCTCCATTTCTATCTCCTTCCTTCCTCCTTCTCCCTCCTTTTATCTCCTTCCTTCCTCCCTCCCTCCCTTTTATCTCCTTCCTTCCTCCCTCCCTCCCATTTTCTATCTCCTCCCTCCCTCCCTCCCTCCATGTCCTTCCTTCCTCCTTCCATTTTTTATCTCCTTCCTTCCTCCCTCTCCCTTTTATCTCCTTCCTCCCTCCCTCCCATTTTTATCTCCTCCCTCCCTTCCTTCCTCCCTTTTATCTCCTCCCTCCCTCCCTCCCTCCCATTTTCTATCTCCTTCCTTCCTCCATCTCTTTCCTTCCTTCCTCCATTTTTTATTTCCTTCCTTCCTCTCCTTTTATCTCCTTCCTTACTCCCTCCCTTTATCTTCCTTCCTCCCTCCATTTTTATCTCCTTCCTTCCTCCCTCCTTTTATCTCCTTCCCTCCTCCCTCCCTCCCTTTTATCCTTCCTTCCTCCCTCCATTTTTATCTCCTTCCTCCCTCCATTTTTATCTCCTTCCTTCCTCCCTCCTTTTATCTCCTTCCCTCCTCCCTCCCTCCCTTTTATCTCCTTCCTCCCTCCATTTTTATCTCCTTCCTCCCTCCCTCTCCTTCCATTTTTTATCTCCTTCCTTCCTCCCTCTCCTTTATCTCCTTCCTTCCTTCCTCCCTCCCATTTTTATCTCCTCCCTCCCTCCTTCCTTCCTTTTATCTCCTCCCTCCCTCCCTCCCATTTTCTATCTCCTTCCTTCCTCCAAGTCTTTCCTTCCTCCCTCCATTTTTTATCTCCTTCCTTCCTCTCCTTTTATCTCCTTCCTTACTCCCTCCCTTTTTTATCTTCCTTCCTCCCTCCATTTTTATCTCCTTCCTCCCTCCCTCTCCTTTTATCTCCTTCCTTCCTCCCTCCCTTTTATCTCCTTCCTTCCTCCCTCCATTTTTATCTCCTTCCTCCCTCCCTCTCCTTCCATTTTTTAACTCCTTCCTCCCTCCCTCTCCCTTTTATCTCCTTCCTTCCTTCCTCCCTCCCATTTTTATCTCCTTCCTTCCTCCCTCCATTTTTATCTCCTTCCTTCTTCCCTCCATTTTTTATTTCCTTCCTTCCTCATTTATCTCCTTCCTTCCTCCCTCCCTCCCTACATTTTTAATCTCCTTCCTCCCTCCCTCCCTCCCTCCCTCCCTCGCAATAGCACTTAGACTTATATACCACTTCACACTGCTTTACAGCCCTCTCTAAGCGCTTCACAGAGTCAGCCTATTGCCCCCAACAATCCGGGTCCTCATTTTACCCACCTCGGAAGGATGGAAATCTGAGTCAACCTTGAGCCCCTTCAGGATCGAAGGGAATCAAATTCCTGGCAGTGAGCGGGGAGCTAGCCTGCAATGCTGCATTCTGACCGCTGCGCCGCCAGGGATCCTTCCCTTGTAAAAGAGAGCGCCAAGCTCTGATGACGTTTCCTAGTTGGGTAATGCAACGTCTGCAAGAAAACAACCAAGCTCAGAGAGCACCGGGGACCCCATCGACAGAATTCTGGTGAGGGGTCCACTCTCTCTCTCTTTCTCCCGCCCAACTGCAGGCCTGTGAACATCTGACCGAAGAAGAACAGATCCAAGAAGACGCGTGGGCTCTTTACATGTTCAACGGCCAAAGAGCTCAGAAGCTTGCCATCGACGAAGACAGCGACGCTTTCTCCAAGAACATTGCGGAAGGCTCCGAATTCCACTCCACTCTCTATCATCTCCTGAAAGATGCGGGGAGCACAGCGGCAATGGACCGGGTCAGACAGAGCAACTACCTGTTCATCGATGCCGTGTACCAAATGCTCCTTGCCACCAGGGTGCTGACATACTCCTAACACGCCAAAAGCTGCTTAAGAAACTTTATTGAGTTCATAAGACACTCCAGTCAATTAGAGGTGGGAGAAATCACACTTCAGACGTCTCTCTTTTTTTTTAATAGAAAAGAAAAATAAAATAAATATCCGTAAGCTTTTTATGGATAGACTACGTGCCCTGAATTTTTTTTTTTAAAAAAAATACGTCTTGTTTCTGTAAGCTCTTTGGTGAGATTTTTGGGGCGGGATGGGTGTGTGGGGGGGGGGGGGAGGAGAGAAGAGACTGACGAAATTAAAAAAAAAAATTAGTTGCAATCATTCAGAAGATCGACTCGCTTGGCCGGAAAAGACTGAATCGTATCTTGTTTCTGAATGACGTGGTCCTAAATTATTAACAGAAATGTTAAGACGATGCATTAACGTTGCATTTTTCCCGGCCTTCAGAAATTTAAAATGTCATAAACCTAAATTGCTTCATCCGTCTGCTCGATTATTCAATTTAAGACTACATGCTGAACAGGCACTATAAAAATGAGTGTATTTTCAACTTTGGCAGCTCGAAGGTGGGTGGACCTCAACTCCCAGAATTCCTCAGCCAGCCATGCTGGCTGGGGAATTCTGGGAGTTGAAGTCCACCCACCTTAGAGTTGTTAAAGACTGAGAAAACCTGCATTAGAAAAATCCATTCTGAATACTGCTGAACTATACAGGCGGTGGTCCATGGTGGAGAAGACGTGTGTATGGCCACAAGAATTTCTGTACTGAGGTCCAAGCGGTCCCGGTGCCATCAGGAGCGGCTTCCACAGATTGATGGAAGGAGAACCCCATGAAAAAAGTCACCAGGATGGCAAAGAACACAACTGCAACGAGAGAGACATAGAGGGCTCTGCTAATCCCGGAGAAGGAAGTCCTAAGAGAAGAGGCCCACGAAAATACTCTCGTACATCTGCAGAAGAAAAAAGACATGGAAAAGTAGACATGGGGTCTTTCATCCAAGGTCTACCTTCAGTGGCAATTCACACACTCCAATACATGGACACGCGCTACAAAAATCTGAATTTCTTCAGGGAAAAATAAACAGGTAAGAGGAAACACTGGAGGGTGCTAACAGCGAGGACAATTAATCTGTGGAACGGCTTGCCTTCAGAAGTTGTGGGTGCTCCATCACTGGAGGTTTTAAGAAGAGATTGGACGGCCTGAAATGGTATAGGCCAGGGGTCTTCAAACTTGGCCCTTTTGTGACTTGTGGACTTCAACTCCCAGAATTCCTCAGCCAGCATGCCTGGCTGAGGAATTCTGGGAGTTGGTCCACAAGTCACAAAAGGGCCAAGTTTGAAGACCCCTGTTCTAGTAAGTGGCTGGCACAAAACTCCTGCCATCCTGAACTAGCTGACTTCATCCCAAACTCTTCCACAGCTGTCTTTATACCCATCAGTCAAGAGCCTCTAGAGCAAGGGTCTTCAAACTTGGTCCTTTTATGACGTGCCTGGCTGAGGAATTCTGGGAGTTGAAGTCCGCAAGTCCTAAAAGGGCCAAGTTTGAAGACCCCTGTCTTAAATCTAACAAACAAAATGGAGGCTGGCTGAGGAATTCTGGGAGTTGAAGTCCGCAAGTCCTAAAAGGGCCAAGTTTGAAGACCCCTGTCTTAAATCTAACAAACAAAATGGAGGCTGGCTGAGGAATTCTGGGAGTTGAAGTCCGCAAGTCCTAAAAGGGCCAAGTTTGAAGACCTCTGTCTTAAATCTAACAAACAAAATGGAGGCTGGCTGAGGAATTCTGGGAGTTGAAGTCCGCAAGTCATAAAAGGGCCAAGTTTGAAGACCCCTGGTATAGTGTCTCCTGCTGGAGGAGAGGGCTGGACTAGAAGACCTCCAAGGTCCCTTTCAGCTCTATTCTGATTCTTCATTTATAATCTTTCGGCTTCACAAAAAAAAAAAAAATGCTAACAGAACTTCTGGGAACATTTTTTTTGAAGTCCTATGCATGGATGCTCCCAGTCAGCTTTCCAGCACTCCAGCACCAAAGGCATGCCGCTAAATCACTGCTACTGCATCAAATTCAACAAATTATAATTTCCCAATGTCTTTCCCACATTCCCCACAAAGCATTTTTGTCTTGTTTGCTTTCTTGCTATACTTACAGCGAGCGTAGCCCCCCTTTAGTTGTGTTGCTTTCCTTTTCGCTCAGCTTTCGTGCTTTGCTTCCCTGGATCTCTGGAGCTGCCGATTCCTGAAGAGCAGCCCTGTAAGGGGTGATTTAGAGGATGTTTTAAAAAGCCCCTGCTCCTCCAGAATGCTTTTTGACATCAAGGGACACCAACTCCCAGAATTCCCTAGTCTGGCATGCTTTAAGAAGTATGGATTTTAACTCCCAGAATTCCTGAGCCAGCATGCCTGGCTGAGGAATTCTGGGAGTTGAAGTCCACAAGTCATAAAAGGGCCAAGGTTCCCCACCCATTGCCTAGAACAGGGATCTTCAAACGTGGCCCTTTTATGACTTGTGGACTTCAACTCCCAGAATTCCTGAGCCAGGCATGCTGGCTCAGGGATTCTGGGAGTTGGAGTCCACAAGTCATAAAAGGGCCATGTTTGAAGACCCCTGTTCTTGACTGATACCAGAGTCAACATTCACCTGCCTTATTCTTTAACCACATAGAACAAAGAATAGAATAGAATATGGAATTTAAGAATAGAATAGAATATAAATATGAAATTTAATAATAGAAAATAGAATAGAATATGGAATTTAAGAATAGAATAGAATATAAATATGAAATTTAATAATAGAAAATAGAATAGAATATGGAATTTAAGAATAGAATATGGAATTTAAGAATAGAATAGAATAGAATATGGAATTTAAGAATAGAATATAAATATGAAATTTAATAATAGAAAATAGAATAGAATATGGAATTTAAGAATAGAATATGGAATTTAAGAATAGAATAGAATAGAATACAACAGAATAGAATAGAATAGAAAATATGGTATGGTAAGGAATGGAATGGAATGGAATAGAATGGAATGGAATAGAATAGAATATAAATATGAAATTTAATAATAGAAAATAGAATAGAATATGGAATTTAAGAATAGAATATGGAATTTAAGAATAGAATAGAATAGAATACAACAGAATAGAATAGAATAGAAAATATGGTATGGTAAGGAATGGAATGGAATGGAATGGAATGGAATGGAATAGAATAGAATATAAATATGAAATTTAATAATAGAAAATAGAATAGAATATGGAATTTAAGAATAGAATAGAATATAAATATGAAATTTAATAATAGAAAATAGAATAGAATATGGAATTTAAGAATAGAATATGGAATTTAAGAATAGAATAGAATAGAATAGAATAGAATAGAATAGAATAGAATAGAATAGAATGGGACCTTGGAGGTCTTCTAGTCCAACTCCTTTCTCAGGTATATCTATACCATTTCAGACAAATGGCTGTCCAGTCTCTTCTTAAAAACTTCCAATGTTGGAGCATTCACTGCTTCTGGAGGCAGGCTGTTCCACTGGTTAATTGTTCTAACTGTCAGGAAGTTTCTCCTTAGTTCTACGTTGCTTCTCTCCTTGACTAGTTTCCATCCGTTGCTTCTCGTCCTGCTTCCTTCTATGCTTAGAGAAATTAGTGGCTTCTAGGGAAAAGCTTCCTTCTTTGGGGCACCAGGAGGAAAAATGAGACTCACTCTAATTCAGGCTGTTCTTCCTCCGATTCTGTCCAGGAAGTTGAGCTAATGAATCGTTGCAGCGATGGCCGTTTTTCTCTTGGTTTGGTTCCTTTTAGACTCCTAAAGGCAGGGGAACCAAATGGGCCTTCTTTAAAAAGAAATCTTGATTGCTTTTTAAAATTAAATATTCCTCCACCCCCCCCCCCAAATACAGGTAGTCCTCGACTTATAACAGTTCATTGTTCAAATGGACTATGTAAGACGTTGGGCGTTTGGCTGGGAAAATTATTGTTTAAGTCTACAAATTGATGTTGGAACCTCAGAGTTAGTTTTGCTTCGACATTACCACGCAGTGTATTCAATAAACAGTAAGATTTTGGAGATGGAATGTGTGCGCTTATGGGTGCACACATATACAAATACACAGTGTCATACGTACCAACTCAAGCGCCTGTTGAATTTTTCATTCCGGTTGTTTCCGTCCGTTTCATTCATCTGAGCCTTTGTAAAGGAATGGGGAGAGGTCATTATTTACATGCAGCCAATACTTTTAAAGTAAGGAACAGTCAATTCTGGAAAAACACCTACATACCAGTTGCAAAAAAGTGATTGCATTTCCATTACTGTTCCTAGGCAAGGGTGCAGTGCTAACTCTGCGTAGTGATGAAGGCTACATAAAACAAGAAATACTATTTGATCAGTTAGGTATTGCATATCCTGGCGGAGTCCTGCGGGTCTGCTGTGCAAAAGGTGGGACTTGCATGAACAAAGCAGAACTTCTAAACCGATGTTTGTCAACCCTGGCATCTTTAAGAGGGGTGGGCTTCAACTACCAGAATGGTGGGCACCAAGGACCGGTGGTGCTGGCTGGGGGCTTAATTCTGGCAGTTGCAGTCCACCCAGCCCACAATGGACAAGGTTGAAAAAGTGTTCTAAACAGATTTAAGAAGTCAGCATGGAATTCATCGCTGATTTAAGAAGTCAGCATGGAATTCATCGCTGATCTCACAAACGGGTACTCATCACTGAACAGGAAATACCACAAAAGCTCAAATCCTGGGCCCAGCTCCACTTTCCATTTCCAGCCTCTCTTATTATTATCAATAGTACAAATAAAAAGAGATAGAAGAACACATAGGGGGGTCTTTCGTGCATAGGAACTTCACTCATCTGGGTCATATAAAGCAGCGATCCACGTATCTGGACCATATAAAGCAGTGATTGTGGCTTTTTGTGCTACCTAGATTCCACGCGTGCACAGATAAAATTCACTTGTTTGTGCAACCCAGATCCTAACAGGCTAAGGATTGGTACTGGTCCACAGCCCAGGGGTTGGGGACCCCCTGTTGTAAAGAATGGCATCTAAGCAAACAATTGAAGCAACATACCACACTAGTTAGTGGGAGCATCAAAAGAGAAGAAGATCCACAGATTTTAGCTAAGTAAAGGATTACATTGTCCATCCAGTTCCTCAGCAGCTATTTAATGAAATGTGATCTGCATTTTTCCATCAACAAACGTACCAGAAGCAACTAATGATCAAATGCAGATAAAATGTTACAAATATTTAACAATTTCCAAAGAAATATATGGTTCAGACTACCATATATTCATTATTTCAATTTTGTTAAGAAACTCCACTGGTTCATACATATGTATTACACATGAGATTATCCTAACTGCTGCAGAAACTCAGTTATTAGGGATATTTGTAATTTGACTCACAGAGTCAATATTTGTAATTCAAGCTGTAATTTTGTTCATGCTTAAGATTGATTTTGGAGAGAGATTTTAGGCTAGGAACTGGTTGGCAAATGAACAAATAGCACAGATAAAAGGCTAAAGCAATGCACAGACACTTTCCTTGATTTTTTTAAAAAAATACTTACGAACTAACTTGAATTTCCTGGTTAACAAATATATAGTTTTTTCAAAATCCTACAGGTCAAATTATTTAGCACATCTTCCTTTCTTTCCCCAAAACACCAATTTAGTTCTGATCTTAGTGAAGTCAGTTAAAGGGGATGTTTCTCAATTGCAAGATCCAATCTGAGTTGGTCTTCCAAGCTTTCCAACTCGTGCGGGAGCCCATCCTCAGGGAATTTCTCTCTAGCAGGGTGTATGCTTTGGGCTATTCTGTGTGTGGTATTCACATGGTGCCTGGTTGTGTGTGGCTTTGGGGGCTTTTGATTGGGGTGTTGCTGTCCAATCTGCACAGACTGTTTGTGTACCATTTTATATTTGTCAATTTACCTCAATGTGCTATGCAGAAAACAAGGTAAAAAAAATACCAAGTTCCCAGCTAGGAATTTGGTTTTGTGATTCCTTGAAAACCGTGGTCACTGTTCTTGGGTTTTGACCACACATTAATTGCAGTTACAATACTTCTATCGTCCAACTCATAATCAACACTCTAGAACAGGGGTAGGCAACCTTGGCTCTTTTACGACTCGTGGACTTCAACTCCCAGAATTCCTGAGCCAGCCATGCTGAGAGAAATGGAGTTTCCAAGCTGAGCCATGCTGGCTCAGGAATTCTAGGAGTTGAAGTCTACGAGTCATGAGGGGGCCGTAGTTCCCTCATGCTGGTTCTGGAATTCTGGGAGTTGGTCCACGAGTCATAAAAGAGCCAAGGTTGCCTACCCCTGCTCTAGAAAGACCACCATTACAGAATTCTGTTCAACACTAAGAGGAGCAATTTGGAAAAACAAAACAAAACTAAAAACAAAAACCAAAGAGACTGGAATTGAAAAGACCTGGCTACAAAACAGTACAAGTTCAAGGCATTACGCAAGAAAATGGTGCCGATTTTCAGGGATGTAATTGGAAATTTCAGGAGTCGGTTTATGCATGTTGCGAGGCTGCAAAAAGGGGGGGGGAGAAAAAGAAACTGCAAGAATTGCTCAAAAGCATCGCAATCGGAAGGCAGGGCGCAACACAGAAGAGTGTGCAGAAAGCAAGACGCTTGTAACAAGGGTACCTTGAGAGAACCAGAGAGTTTTCTAATTGAAGAGTCGTCTGGAAGTGCAAGAGAAATGGAAGAAGGTGCATTAATCAAGGAAGCAATGGCTTCAATAAAACTAGAAGAGGGATTGGTAGGACAGTGATCTCTGTAGCTTAGTCTGGATTTAGGGGGTTGAATTGGTTTGGAGAAGATAACCAGAGTGGGCTCACCTCTTTATGGCTGAGCTCATGTTCATTTGTTTGCCTTTCCTTGGATGCCTCTTTCTGGCATGGCGAGTGAAGAGCAATAGATTTGAAGATCAGCCACAAACCATGACACCTGCCTCAAGGCAGCATCCTCCAACACCAGTTGTCCCAGAGGTGCTTTTTCAAAAGGCAACTGGACATTGTTTTTCCCTTAAGACATGTCACTTCCCATCCGGGAAGCTTCTTCAGTTCTGACTGAACGGTGGAGGACAGGAGGATTTATATTCCTGGCAGTTCATCTGGTCGTCAGCACAGAGAACTCTCCAAGTGGCTTCAATGATCCTCAGAGAGAGTACTAACGACCAGAGGACTGCCAGGAATATAAATCCTCCTATCCTCCACCGTTCAGTCAGAAATGAAGAAGCTTCAGTTCAGAAGGATCTGGACAGACCTGAACACTGGGCACTAACTAACAAAATGAAATTCAATGGTGAAAAAAGCAAGGTTCTACATTTAGGCAAGAAAAACCAAATGCACACGTACAGCATAGGTGGCACCATGCTCAATAGTAGTAACTGTGAGAGGGACCTCGGAGTCCTAGTAGACAATCACCTAAATATGAGCCAGCAGTGTGCTGCAGCTGCCAAAAAGGCCAACACAGTGCTAGGCTGCATTAACAGAGGGATAGAATCAAGATCACGTGAAATGTTAATACCACTTTACAATGCCTTGGTAAGGCCACACTTGGAATGCTGCATCCAGTTTTGGTCACCACGATGTAAAAAAGATGTTGAGACTCTAGAAAGAGTACAGAGAAGAGCAACAAAGATGATTAGGGGACTGGAGGCTAAAACATATAAGGAACGGTTGCTAGAATTGGGTATGTCTAGTTTAACGAAGAGAAGGACAAGAGGGGACATGATAGCAGTATTCCAATATCTCAGGGGTGCCATAAAGAAGAGAGAATTAAGCTATTTTCCAAAGCACCTGAAGGCAGGACAAGAAGCAACGGGTGGAAACTAATCAAGGAGAGAAGCAACCTAGAACTAAGGAGAAACTTCCTGACAGTGAGAACAATTAATCAGTGGAACAGCTTGCCTCCAGAAGCAGTAAATGCTCCAACACTGGAAGTTTTTAGAAGAGACTGGACAGCCATTTGTCCGAAATGGTGTAGGGTTTCCTGCCTGAGCAGGGGGTTGGACTAGATGACCTCCAAGGTCCCTTCCAACTTTACTACTATTACTAGCTTCCCACATGGGAAGTGACATGTCTTCAAGGAAAAACAAAGTCCTGTTGCCTTTTGAAAAAAAAGCACCTTTGGGACAACCCTGATCTGGATGATTGAGACTCTCCATAGACATCCAACACCAGGTCTATCAAGAAGCTCCCCATGAACAGAGGAACCCGCCAGGTAAGGAAGATGTAGGTCCAAGAGGCTTGGCAAAGGGAAGGTCAAGAGGATGGCTACAAACTGTGACTGAAACCTCACCCCTTTTTATGGACAAGATGCATTAAAAGAGGTGGGGTTTTGATTGCATGCTTGTGGCTGTTTTGACCCTACCCTGCAGGCGGGTCTGGAGTTACAAATCAGAAAAATAAAACCCGTATTAGGAAGCACAAAGACCCCTTTCCCTTAGCCCCAGTCGAAATGAACTAAGTTGGGTTGATGGATGGGGCTGTGTTTCATAGAAAAGGCCCAGCATGATCACGTAATAAAGGGACTAGCTCAGTGGTCCTCAACCTGTGAGTCGGGACCCCATTTGGGGTCGAACGACCATTTCACGGGGGTCGCCAAACAACGCAGTCCGCCATATTTTTTTCCCCCTTTCCTTAGCTGGGCTACTCCCTTTTATTCTATTGGCTTTTGAAAGCCAATAGAATAGACTCTCTTGAATAGAGTCTAATTCTATTGGCTTTCAAAAGCCAATAGGAATTGTCCAGGCTGTCTCTGCCCTGCTGAGCCCGCCAAAAGTCCCATTCTGCAAACGGTGCTGCACCAGTTGAGTAGTCCTCGACTTACGACCGGTTGAGTAGTCCTCGACCGGTTGGGGGTCGTGGCATTAAAAAGGTTGAGAACCACCACTGTCTGATTTGAGCCTAGGCCATGCACAACCCCTTGTACAAGTGCACTTTCACATGTAGTCATCCTACTCAGTGTCTGATCGTTTAGACCGAGAGTCTCCAAACTTGCCAACTTTAAGACTTGAGGACTTCCACTCCCAGAAGTCCCTAGCCACCAATCTTGCACTGGAGAGAAAAGGCGGGAAAGATGATGTAGCCATCATTTCAGTCAACGTCAAACTTGGCTGTTACCTCGGTCCCCCGGAGAGCTGAAAGACTTCTCATTCTGGAGTAATAGCTCCTTCAGCTCTTCCAGTTCTGCGTGCTCTCTTGCGTATGTACGCTTTAAGTTTTCCACGTGCTGAATCATCACTTCTACTGCCTTACTGACCCGGCTTTCCTAAGGAAGAAAAGGTAGGGAAGGACAGAAGCCAACTGGAGACTCCACCGATTGTTTTGTTGGGGGTGGGGAAAAAAGTGGGCATAAGCATGATCCTACATCAAGTGGCCCATCTTATTTTCGGTGAAAGAATTCAAAGGCTTGGTACCAAAGCCATCCCACGTGCTCTGTTATTTTTCAAATTCTGCAAAGCCTGGGATTCTAGAGAAGGTCGAGAAGATGTAAAAGTCAAATTGGCTAAATTGTGGAGACTTAAGGATGACCTTAAGAGGACAGGAAAGAATAAAATTCAAGTATCTAAGAGTTGAAATAAACTCAACAAGTATTGGACTCTACCGTGACGCTAGTGGTGATTTATGATGGTCTACTGGATTCTCTAGCCACAGATGCCTTTGATGGCGGGGATGGTGGGCCAATGGTTGGGCTGATTGCCATGTAATTTTCAAGGAAAAGAGTATGGTGGTAAGGTATGTAGAAGCAGGAGTTTTGTGCCAGTCACTTACTAGAACAAGGGGTCTTCCAACTTGGCCCTTTTATGACTTGTGGACCAACTCCCAGAATTCCTCAGCCAGGCACATGGGCTGAGGAATTCTGGGAGTTGAAGTCCACAAGTCATAAAAGGGCCAAGTTTGAAGACCCCTGTACTAAACAGTTCCTGTTCCTCTCCTTATCATGCATGAATAAGAAGGAAGCACTTCCTATTTTGCTCAAAGAACAGAGTGTGTAACTCAGTGAAAGACTGGCAAATTCCACATTGTATGTACCATCTTTTCTACAAATCAAGAATTACTGCTGGATCAGTAATGCTAAAAGCGATTCTCTAAAAGCTCGGAACACATGATTTGAATATTGTCTTGGAGGAACAGGTATTACAATAAGCAGCTCATCCTTTTCAAACTTCAGAAAAATAAGGTTTTGAGATGCCAAAAGGATTCTTCAGGCTAAATGTTCTATAGAACATTTTAAGTTGCAGGGCGTTTTGGGTAAGATGAAAAGCCTCACAGCGTAAAAGATCAACTAAAATATTGTAAGACATGGTGCTTCTATTCATCTCCAGAACTTCCCAATTACATTAGACCAAGTCTAGTATTTAAAATTCTTGAACAATAGCTTTACTATACTTCTGTAACGTCTCACAATAATGCTTGGACTTTCCTAGTAGATCAGGATTAAAACTATCATCAACATAATACAGAGGACACTCAGAGGAATACATGCCTTTATAGATTGTGTGACGTATAAGGAACGGTTGCTGGAATTGGGTATGTCTAGTCTAATGAAGAGAAGGACGAGGGGTGACATGATAGCAGTGTTCCAATGTCTCAGGGGCTGCCACAAAGAAGAGGCAGTCAAGCTATTCTCCAAGGCGCTTGAAGGCAGGACAAGAAGCAACGGAGGGAAACTAATCAAGGAGAGAAGCAACCTAGAACTAAGGAGAAACTTCCTGACAGTTAGAACAATTAACCAGTGGAACAACCTGCCTCCAGAAGCAGTAGATGCTCCAACACTGGAAGTTTTTAAGAAGAGACTGGACAGCCATTTGTCCGAAATGGTATAGGGCTTCCTGCCTGAGCAGGGGGTTGGACTAGATGACCTCCAAGATCCCTTCCAACTTTATTATTATTATTATTATTATTATTGTTGTTGTTGTTGTTGTTATTAAGACCTTTTTCATTCTTCACAATTTTGGATCAGTCCACCTACCTGATGAACAGCTCCCAGCATTTCTGCTTTGCTAGCAATTCTGGTGGCATGCTGATCCAGCAGGTCCAAACTCTTCTGCAGCTTAGTAACTATCTCCAGCACCTGATTATCTTCACTCAGAGAGGCTAAAGACTGAAGAAGAAACAGCCAGTGTGTGCATGCAAAAAACAAGACAAGCATTGTGGTTTATACAAATGAAAATAATGAATGGGACAACCTCTGGCCAGCTCTCTCTTTTAGGTTTTTAGCCCTACAAATGATTTTTGAAACTTTTGTTTTCAATAGGAGTATAATTGCCGTTCGTATCAATAAGCCCGCCCACATACGGCACAGAGAAATCTCTTTGTCTGTGGCTAGAAATTTGCATAACCACATCTGCAAAGCAATATAGATTAATAGGCGTTCTATTCTTTTCAGAACAGAATGTACTGTAGAGATCTCTTTTGTTTTATCACCATTCTCTAGGTCAGGTTGGGCTCAGAGAGCACGACTGGCCCAGAGCTTATGGGGCTGAAGCCTGGCTCAGGAATTCTGGGAGTTGAAGTCCACGAGTCATAAAAGAGCCAAGGTTGCCTACCCCTGTGCTAGTCCAACACTATTACACCACAGTGGTTCTTGGGCTGAGAGACAAGGATTAGCCCAATGCCTCAAGGGACTTTCTAGACCAGGGGTAGGCAACCTTGGCTCTTTTATGACTCGTGGACTTCAACTCTCAGAATTCCTGAGCCAGCATGGCTAAGCATGGAAACCTCCCCTTTTCCCCTCAGCATGGCTGGCTCAGGAATTCTGGGAGTTGAAGTCCACGAGTCATAAAAGAGCCAAGGTGGCCTACCCCTGTTCTAGACATTAGAGGCCAAGTTTTCCTTTTGTTAGTCCAAGACCTTCACCGTTATCCTACACCAGAGGTCTTCAAACTTGGCCCTTTTATGACTTGTGGACTTCAACTCCCAGAATTCCTCAGCCAGCGTGCTTGGCTGAGGAATTCTGGGAGTTGAAGTCCACAAGTCATAAAAGGGCCAGGTTTGAAGACCCCTGTCCTACACTAATCTCCAATCCACAACACAGTCCTTTCAACAGTTCCAAGAAGGCTTCACACAACCATTTGCACCACTCAGGTGACCCTGAAGACACAGATAAGCCTCCAGGTAGCATCATCAACTCGCTAAAAGAATGTATATGATCAGCTGTCTGCAAGGAATATAAATCCTTCCATTCCCCACCATCCAGTCAGAGCTGAAGAAGCTTCTTGGATGAGAAGCAAAACGTCTTCAAAGAAAAACAAGAGAGTCCAGTTGCCTCATGAAAAAGCATCTTTGGGATAACTATTACCTGGATGATTGAGAATCTTCACAGACATATCCCACACTAGCTCTTACTATCCTTGGGAGAATCAGCTTCCTTTGGGTCAGTGCTTCTCCACCTGTGGGTCAGGACCCCATTTGGGATCGAACGACCATTTCACGGGGGTTGCCAAACAACGCAGTCCGCCATTTTTTCCTCCTTTTCCTTAGCTGGGCTACTCCCTTTTATTCTATTGGCTTTTGAAAGCCAATAGAATAGACTCTCTTGAATAGAGTCTAATTCTATTGGCTTTCAAAAGCCAATAGGAATTGTCCAGACTGTCTCTGCCCTGCTGAGCCCGCCAAAATCCCATTCTGCAAACGGTGCTGCACCAGTTGAGTAGTCCTCGACTTACGACCGGTTGAGTAGTCCTCGACTTACGACCAGTTGGGGGTCGCGGCATTAAAAAAGTTGAGAACCACTGCTTTGGGTCCCTCTGCTTCAGGCTTAGATACAGGACATTTGCTGCTATCCTTTACTCTCCCAGAATGGCCAAAGCTGAGAAAAAAACTGATCTAGAGGTTAAGTCTGCCTTCACCCTCTGAAGCAATAGATGTCTAGGACAGAACCCATCTTCCTCCTTCTTACGTCAAGTAGTTTCAAAGCACCGGCAATTTCTTTCCTCAGGCTCCCTTCCGCAAGATCCCGAGATCGTTCTTCAAGCCTGACTCTCTTCTCTAAAGTAAAGAGATCACATTTGAATCCCAGAGACAGCCGTAGGAATTCTGCCTGGAAAACAGAAGAGGAGCAGACATCCTTACTAGGCAGATTACCAGTTGACTCATCTCTCTCTGTGCAAAAATAAAAATTAAAATTAAAAAGTAAAGTTAAAGTTAAAGTTAAAGTTAAAGTAAAGTAAAGTAAAGTATAGTAAA